TTCCGATGGAAACGGTTCCATTGGGCAGGCTTCTCATCAGTTCGGTATGAACAAGGAGTGAATGAAGATGAGATTATGCTTCCTTCTTTCCATGACTAAAGTCTTCTAAAAGTTTGTTAAATTGCACTGTGTTCAGAAAATATGAGCCACTTAAAATTGTCCTAGTGTCAGTATTTATTCTATTCCAAAGTAGAAATGTTAAATACTTTTACAGTTGTATAGTCTATTCTGATAGTCACAATTGCTTACTAAATGCCATGTTTATAATTACTTACTAGAATGAATGAACTGCAAGTCCAAATAGTGGTAGGGTGTTAAGTTTAATGTATATATATATATATATATATATATATATATGTTAATTGCATTTATAACATAACTTTTAAAAAAATTAAAATTGGTATATTACTAGATCATTTACCTATCTTTTAATTTTTAAGAGCATCCAGCCTAGTACAAAATTAGCACCTCAAGGTAAAAACTCAACTGTAAATAATATCAACATTGTCTCAAAATAGCCATTTGTAGCATTTGGGAAGAATTGTTAAAACAATGAGACATGCTTACTTTTTACAGCAGAATGATACTTCTTTGACACGATGCATTTTCTAATATTCCAAAGATATTTCATAACAATATTATTTAATGCGAGATCAGCAGACGGCTTAATGATTATGTTGCTGGACTCTCACGTAGTCGACCATGGTTTGAGTCCCAGACCTGGTGACTTAAAAACCCATGCCAGGTGCATGTGCGTGCATGCCCAAAATCCTAAGAGGAGAATGGAGGAGAAGGGACTGCAGTGTGGACATCCCCCTTAGGGGGTGAGTTCTCACTTTCTGTTTCTCTCTCTCTCTGTCTCTTTGCCAAGTACATATACCCTTTAGCAAAAATCTCTCTCTAAAAAAATTTTAATGCAAATTTTTATGTCTCCAATTATTCCGAAAATAATGGCTTTTAAAGAATATTTAGTACTTAAGATTTTCTATATTGTATGAACATTATTTTTGGATTGATTAGGTACGCTACAAGAGCATCCTATGTCTTTTCTGATGTAGAACATGCCTGTTTCCTTTTTAAAGGGAATCACCTAGGAGGTAACATTGAAAATTTTATAATCCATATACTTCACATACATGTCAGTTTATGACTGTAAGAATTTTTTATGACTTTGTTGCCTTTTTATATGAGCTAAACAGAGAAGTGGTCTATAAAGAGAATGGTATAACTTGCATTTGTACAAATAAGAATTTCACACTCTAAAAAAAAAAAAAATTGAAACCATACTGCTTCTGTTGTTATAGAGCCATAAAATTATACAAAATTATAAGAAATATCTTGAACATTATCTTTAAAATTCAGTATTTTGAAATTTTGAAAGTTGTTTGTAAACTGTCAAGAACTATGGAGTATGAGCTAAAATTTTTTGATACGTAAAGTAAATGTTTGTGGAAAAATGCAAAAATAAATAAATAAAAGAAAAAAAGAATTTCACAATGAAAATCATAACATTATGATTGCTACTAAATATGTAAAATTATGAATGACCAAGAAAATATTGTTTTGTAATAAACACCTTGAATTTTATCACTTAGAACATATTCTTAATAATAGCAGCCACTGAATGTGGTAAATGTTTTGGGCAGGGTTTAACTTATATTTGCACTATAGAGTATTTTTATATGAAATCTATAGATTTATTTGAAGTTTAAAGTGTTTATACTATGAGAAAGTTGTAAATAATCTCCTAAGAGTTTTAATATAGTTTACTATTGTCCTAAAATATTTTTTACTGAATTTCTTAGAGTAGTTCTCTTGCTCTATGATTTATGCAATTTTAGTCATTAACTTTACTTGAAAAACTATACCACCCTGATGTGAAAAGTAGAGCTGTATATACTAGTGATACCATAAGAAAGTTTTCTTTTTTAAGTGAAAGTGTAATGAGTTGATCCTTATTGGAAAAAAAAAATTCTGGATTGGACTTTATTATGTTTGGTAGTATGACAAGAAATAACATATCGAGCATTGTAAATTGAGGCATTCTTTTGGAGATCTTTTGTGCATTTAAAAAAGAATAAATACAGTAATTTCTAAATGTTTGACTTCAGTATCCTTTCAGATTCTTCTTGCTCAGCGTCTTTTGGCTATGAGGATCACCAGGAAGTCCATCTCTATTCCACTTTTTTTCATTATTTGTGCTCCTCTCAGGAGATCCTGTCTATCCCTTTCCCTCTAAGGTATCCAAAAACCATTTCTAAGTTTGTTCGAATTATGCATTTACAGGTTTATATGTCCAGCCACCCGCTGGGCAGTCTACACTGCAAGTCCTTCCCAACATGTCCAGGATGGCCCATATCGCTTTCCCTTCCTCATTTCCTTCACTCCAGATACTTCAGATGTATCTAACTCCAGTCTTCCCAAACTAACCCAACCACCACAAATAGTCTATCTAATGAACTGATGTCTTGGGCCAGTAGATGGCATGGAGGTTAAGGTGCTGGATCCCACATGGCCAATACTGTGGTTAGAATCCCAGAGGACCTGGCAGCTTGAAAATCACACTGGGCGTGTGGGTGCACACCCGAGATCCTGAGAGGAGAATGGAGGAGAAGGGATGCAGTGTGGCTATACCCCCTAGTGGGTGATTTCTAACTTCTCCCTCCCCCATCCCATCTATGGTGAGCACATGTGCCCTATAGCAAAAACTAAAACTAAAATAAAATAAAATTTAAGTGATCTTGTAAATCAAGCTGTCCAGCGGTATGGTGATTAAGGTAGCTGGATCCCACAAGGCAGACTGTGCAGTTCCAGTCCCAGAGCCAGCAACTGGAGAAACAGGTGGGACACGTGTGGGTGTGTGCCCAAAATCTGGAAAGAAGGAAAAAATGGAGGAGAACCCCGTGGAGGTGTGACTTCTCCCTTCCTCTCTTTCTGGTGAGTGCACATGCCCTCTGACATAGTTTTTTGAAGAAGGCACCTAAAAAAGTAAGTAAATAGACCAAATGATGAAATGGAAGCAACAAATATAGAAGTGGTATCAATAATCACCACTTCCACACAGATCACATTCTCGTTCTTAATCCTAGACAAGATATTTTCATTATCTAGGAATTCTCCCCTCCAAATGGCTGCTTTACAGTCTTGGTAACTCTCCTAATCCTAACCCCATTGCTGAGATTTTTCTGGAGAAAGTCAAAGATTTAGATTCCTTTATCTTAGGCACATTTGATCCTCTGGAAGGAGGGAGAAACGAAGGCCTAATTGTTATTTATTTATTTATTTATTTTTGAGAGGTTTTTGCTATAGGGTGCGTGGGCTTGCCAGAAAGACAGAGAGAGACAGAGACAGAAAGCTAGAAAACAACCCCAGGGGGGATGACCACGCTGCAATCCCTTCTCCTCCACTCTCCTCTCGGGGTCTTGGGTACATAGGCACATGCGCCCAGCATGAGTTTAAGCCACCGGGTTCAGGACTCGAACCGCAGTCGACTACATGGAAGTCCAGCAACATAGCCATTATGCTAACTACTGTTCCCTAGGCCTAATTGTTATTAATTCATACAGTAACTTTATTCTGTTTAAGAAGCCAAATTTAAATTAGCTTTCAAAACAAAAGATTTAATTTTTTTTCTTATTTTTTACAATCAATGAGTATCTTTATGACATAGAAAATAAATTTTCCCAGCACGAATAGACTGTATGTTAGTCCAGTGAGATATTACCATACGTATCATCATCAAAAGGTAACTTTTCATTTTTGTGTCTATTGAATGTTTTGGTTCCCCCCCCCGATTTCCTCCCTCCCACCCCTCTCCCCATTTCCAATTTTTCTCCCACACTGTTGCTCATATCCACAGTTTCTTTCCATGCTTTTATACCTTCCAATCACAAAATATATTTTAAGTCTATTGATTACTTCCATGAGTGAGAGAGACAGAGAAAGAAAAAGTACTCCCAACAAGGTCCTGACACCAACATCTATGTCTAGCGTCAGCCAGCCCCAGACCATGGGCATACCATGTCCTACCAACTTAGGAAGGTCTGTGGATGTGAGCCCAGAACCTTCCCTCAAGGGCCAGCCTCACAGAGCACCACATTTTATGGCTACACCACTGTACCGTTCCCAGATTTCTTTTTACTAGACTCATCTGTAACGTTATCTCTAATTCCCTACATATTCTAAATTAAAACTTCTCATTATATCTGTATCCCAACAAATTTAGTAGATATGTATTTCTCTTTTCTCCCAAGCTAAATTCATTATAAGCAGAGCTTGAGAAACTTCCTTTCCATTTCCCCAACTAGTTCTTCCTCTTATATTTCTTTCTTTTAGATCATCAGAAAAGTCATGACATATTTTTGCATAGAAAAATATGCTATGATTTTTTCCGATGACCCAGTGTTAATATGGAGAAACTATACTGCTTGTCTCCCAAGCTAGAAACCCAGAATTCACCCTCAAATCTTCTTCCTTATCTTTCGAAACTGATCATTGTGTCCATTTTCCTAAAAATTTCTCATATACTGGACTCTCACTATTGTTAACTACTATTTCAGGTCTTTATTCTTCCTCCTTCCCCAGATTATTTGCACCAACCTCTTCACTGGTCTCTCCCATCAGCCTTTTCCCATCACGGATTTTCCCCCACTTCTGGGCCTGGGGAACTGAAATACACAGAGGAGAACAGCCCCTCTGTTTTGGTCTAAAGTTACCTAACTATCTCAAGCCAAAGAGGTGCTCAGTGATGCCAAACCTAAGGATCTTTCCCAAAGACCTTATGTAGGTCGGTGATCAGTCCTGAGAAATTCAGAGGTCTTGGCTCCTTGACCAAATACCTTCTTGTTCTTCTCTTTTTTATAATTATTTACTTGATTTTTAAATTATTATTATTTAAATTTTGCTATAGGATACATATTTGCCAGGTCCAGGACTCAAACTATGGTTGGCCATGTAGAAGTTCAGTGCCTTACCCACCACACCACCTTTTGGCCCTCCAAATATCTTTTAATACAATGTAGAATCAAGTTGTTATTGGTCTGATTCCTGAATAACAGATGTGTGAAGTCCAGGCATTAGGAAACCAGTGATTTTAGACAATGGTAACACAAGAGTATGGTGAAGCTAGAATCCAGATGGGATTATGAAAAGTGAAAGGGAAATTAGGAAATGGGGAGCATGTGATTTTGAGAAGTATCATGGAGATGGAAGAGAGAGATTGGGCCATGGCTATCTGGAGAAGGAGGACTGAAAAAGGGTTTTGTTTTGTTTTGTTTTGTTTTCCCCAAGAAGGATGAAAAAGTTCACAAGTTTAGAAGCTGAGAGGAAAAACAAAAACAGTGGACAGAGAGACCTTGGTGCAGGGGAGAAAGGGAGTTATTACTGAAAGATGATCTTGAAGAAGATGAGATGAGAAGGGTAGTTCCAAGTCCACATAAAGAGGAACTAGTTTTGGAACAAGGAAGTATGATCCTTTAAGGCCACAAGAAGGAGATCTACAAATAAGTATTTGAACATATTTATCTGTATTTGATGTTTATCTACATTTGATTTTTTTTTTTTTTTTCATATGGCATGTGCACTTGGCTGGAGAGAGACACACAGAGGAAAGTGAGAAATCACTCCACCCTGCCGCCCTGGGGGATTGATGGTCACACTGCAATCTCTTATCGTCCAGTCTCCTCTCAGGAGGATATGGGTATGCATGCATACACACCCTGTGTGATTTCAGGCCACTAGGTCTGGGAATCCAATGCCTTAACCATCATGCCACCTGCTGGCCCCTGTATTTCATTTTCTTGTTGAGTAGAAGATGAAGTCTTCTGCTAAGAAAGACAGGGAGTGCATTGGGTCTTGAAGAAAGTAATAAAAACTAGAAAAACCAGGGAGAGACATGGAAAGGACAGTGGACAAGGCAGCATCAAGTGATTGTAAAAGAGCCCCACAAGACCCAGATAGAGTTTAAAGTCATATAATATAGTTGCAGTGACAACCATCAGAAGAATTGATTGATTTTTCTCTACTTGTCGTTGCTTCCATAAAGGTGAGGAAAAGGGGACCATAAAGGAGAAAGAAGAGATCCCAGGTCAGAGTTGGCAGGTAGATGCAGCAGAGGAACAAGGGGGTTGAGGGATGTGGCATCCATCTGGATGGAAAGGGGAGGAACGAAAAGCTGGAGAAAATGAAGTCAAGAGACTGGAGTCTGGAATGAAGTAAGAGGAGGCAAATTGCAGTGAGAAGGAAGAAAAGATTAAAGGTATGAGGTGTGATTGGTGAATGGGACATTGGAATCAGAGATTATAGTAGAATATCACATTATCCCACAGAGAGGCAGTAGTCTATTCCGTCACATCAGCATAAAAAAATGAGGCAGTATGTGCCGGAGTTAACAGTGGGACACATACACTTCTCCTTAGTTCAAATGGCTTACAAAAATAAATGTTGAAATGGGTTATTTGTCTAAATTAGATGGACCCATTAGGATGCCAGTTCTATTATATATCCAACCAGGATTGGAAAATTAGTTTAACAGAAAGTAATCCACAGTGGTAAAATATACTTTGACACTCAAGTTGGTGAAGAAAATAACTTTCAGCTGTACAATTGCATAAAACTATTCACTTTACCACTGTATTTAGGGCAAAAGAACCCAGAATGAAAGTATTTCGATATTTAAATGTAGAATAGGGCCACCCCATGCATAGTGGTTAAGTATTGTGTGGAGGGAGCCAGATCCCACATGACCAACCACAATTCGGATTCAGGACCTAGCGGCTTAAAAAAATGGTCTGGGTGCAGGTGCCCAGGATCCTGGCTGATAGGAGTAATGGAGGAAAGGGGATTGCTGCATGACCTGGCCTCATGGGGAGTGCTTTCTCTCTCTCTCTCCCTCTCTCACTCTCTGGTGTACACATGTACCCTCTGGCATAAATAAAAATAAATAAATAAAGAGTATCTTTGGAAGAATTTTTTTTTGGGATTTGGGTTTCATATATACAGCATTATTGACAGCTTGAAACAAACGAATGGAAATAAACAGACTGAGCAGGATGTTGATGCTGTGGCAAAGGGCCTGAACCTGGAATGTGTGGGAGAACCAGAGCTGGGCTCTAGCTCAGTTTCTGGCAATCACTGTCTGCCCATGGGTAGGTTGCATCATTGTTTGGGGTTTCAATTTCCTTCTTAGTAAATGAAGATGGCCTTTATCGTCTCCAACACTCTGACTCTCCTTATATACTCCTTTGATCAACTTTATTTGGTGTAATCAATCACTCCATTTCAGACTGGACTATTTGAAGTCTATTTTAATAGACTTCAATTTTTGAGTAGGTTTACATTTATAGAAAAATTGAGTAGGGAGGCAGCCGACGTAGTGGGTAAGGTGGCTGAATCCCACGTGGCATACTTTGTGGTTTAAGTCTCACACCCAGCAGTGTGAAAAACACACTAGGCACGTGTGTGTGCCCAAAACCCTGAAAGGAAGGAGAAAGGAGAAGAAGAGATTGTGGTGTGACCACTCCCGTGAGGGGAGTGCTTTCTCACTTTCTCTCTCTCTGGCAAGTGCCCACACCCTTTAGCAAATTAATTAAAAGAGAGAAAAGTTGAGTAGAAAGTAGAGTTTTCAAACACCTCCTTATTCACACCCAGTTTTCCCTATTAACATGTTACATTAGCATGATACCTTATTTTAATTGGTGAGCCACTGTTAATATTTCAACTATTACAAAACCCATAGTTTATATTGGGTTTATCCTTGTTTTGTACATTCTATGGATTTTGATAAATGCAGAATGATATGCATCTACCGATATAGTAACATACAGATTAATCACTGCTCAAGCCCTGTGCTCTACCTGTTCATCCCTCCCTTCTTCAGCCCCCCAAACCCTAACCCCTGACCACTTATCTTTTTGCTATCCCTGTAGGTTTTGCTTTTTCTAAAATGTCATATAGTTAGAGTCATATAGTATGTAGCCTTTTCAGATTAGCTCCCTTCATTTAGCAATACATATGTAAGTTTCCTGTGTCTTTTCATGGCTTGATAGCTCATCTATTTTTTGCACTGAATAGTGTTTCAGTTATGTATATACCACAGTTTTTCTTTGTCCATTCACCTTTTGAAGGACATCTTATTTGCTTCCAGGTTTTAGTAATTAGGAATAAAGCTGCTATAAATGTTCATGAGCAGGTTTTGTATACATGTAAGTTTTTAGCTCATTCGAGTGAAACCCAAGGAGTGTGATTGCTGGATCCTGAGTAGAAATATATTTAGTTTTCTAAGAAGCTGCCAACCTGTCTTCCATTTTGCATTCTTACCCGCACTGAATATATTTTTGTTGCTCCACATCTTTGTCAGCATTTGGCATGGTCATTATTTTGGATTTTGGCCATTTTAAGAGGTATATAGTCTATTTCATTTCTGCTTTAATTTGCAATATTCTAATGATGTATGATGTTGAGCAACTTTTTATATATATATTTGCCATCTACTTACCTTCTTTGATGAGGTGTCTGTTCAGATCATTTACCTATTAATTGGATCATTTTGTTTTCTTATTGTTGAATTTAGATTTGATTTCACAGGACTCTTTTGCTAATGACATGAGGATTACACAAGCAGTCTAGGGGACCTACAGACGGAGCAATGATTGTTACTGGACTCCCCCATAGTCAACCATGGTCCGAGTCCCTGACCCAGCAGCTTAAAACTCACACCAGGTTCATGTGTGTGCATGCCCCAAATCCCAAGTGGGGAATGGAGGAAAAGGGATTGTGGAGTGGCCATCCGCCCTGGGGGATGATTCCTCACTTCCTATCTCTGTCTCTCAGGATCAGTGCACACACCCTACAGCAGAAATATCTCTAAATAAACAGTCTAGCTTGGACCAAGCTTGTGTTGTCTGGCTCTGGAGGCCCTCACAGGTCAAGTTATAACTGGTTGCACCTAAATTGTAGCAAGTAAGTTTAAAGGCCAGGAGCTGGTGACAGAGAAAAATTGTGTGTAAGAAATATAATCTACCGGAAGGAGTCTTTGAAAAGGAGGTTTCTGGCCATTAAATCCTAAGGAGAAATCTGGCAGATAGCACCTTAACCAAGTGATCAGTTTCCATTACTACAAATAAGATATACCACCATCATGTCCCTCCTGAGCAGAGCACATCACCCCTGCGCAAAACAACCTGAATCCATTCAAAAGGAGTCATCAGACAAAAAGCAACTAAAGGATATTGCACAAAACACTGGCCAGTACTCCTCCAACGTGTTTTGGTTGTGTAAGAGGACGATTGATAGAGGACTGTCCTAGATTAAAGGACCCCAAGGAGAGCTCAATGCGACGTATGGGCCTGGATTGGATCCTAGAACAGAAAGAACATCATGGGACAATTAGCGAAATGTGATAAGTACTGTATGCCGGTGTTAATTTCCTGGTTTTGATCTTTGTACTGGACTTACGTAAGATGTTAATATTTAGAGAAGTTGGCTGTAGGGTTACGGAAATACTTTGTACTATTTTGCAACATTTTCGGAAGTCTGATATTATTTCAGTTCAAATTAAATATTTTTTTTTTAATTAGATAAGTTCCAGAAACCAGCGGTTTCCGCGGGGTCTACTCAGCCAGGGTCACCACTAGGCGGGATCCCCTTCTCTCCACACCCGGCCAGCAGGGGCGTCCGCGGTGGGAGGGGTCCAGACTCCAACTCTGCACTTCCGAGAAGCGCCGCCCCCGCCCAGCTCCAGCCTGCGGGTCCGCTGCCACTCGCCCACCCAGCCCCGCGCCTGCA